TATAAGACCGATTTATCGGCATCGTATCCAATAAAATATTTTGTCACCATTTTTCATAATAAGATCACTTTCCATCAAAAATAAAAATAAAAAGGACGTTTTCGAGTCGCGCAGGGGCGGTACGAAAACAGCATCCAAAAATGCGAAAATGACTTACAGTTGGTTTAATGTTCCACAGTTTCTGGAATGGGGATGTAAACTCCAGTCTTGCTTGAGGTAGTCTATTCGTGACGTACACAACTGTCTTCATGCACTTTGCCCAAAATCTAGTTGGCACATTCTTCGCATGGAACAAACTCCTGTAAATCTCCACCATGTGTCGATTCTTTCTCTCAGCAACTCCATTCTGCTGTGATGTTCTTGGACAGGTGAATTACCTTTGAATGCCTTGCTCTTGGCAATATTTTTTAGTGATAAATTCGTCAGACGTTGTACTCTCCCCCATTGTCAGTGCGGAAGGCATCTAATTTTATTTCCGATTCTTTCTAAAACTTTTTCTTGAAAGCTTTGAATTTTTCAAAAAATTCCGACTTCTCTACCATGAAATCTACCCAAACATATCTTGAGTAGTCATCGATGAAAGTAATCATGTACCTCATATTACTGTTTGTAGGTTGCTTGATCCGTCCAAGAACATCTGAATGTATTAACTCCAATGCACCTTGGCTCTATGTTTGACTCTTCAAAGGGAAGTTGGTAAGCTTTTCCATACTGGCATCCAGCACATATAGTGTCTTCTTGGCATTCCAACTGAGGAAGACCTTTAAGCATGGAGTTCTTCATCATCACCTTAAGCTTGTGATAACTAACATGTCCCAAACGAGTGTGCCACAAGTCAGCTTTCTCACTCTTCCTTGTTCTGTCAACATAGGCTTCTTGTGCTGACATGATGTAGATTGATTCTACTGGTCGTTCTTCCATGACTGGATCTTCGATTAATTTAAGCTTACGATAAACCTTAATATTATCAGGACCGAACACCATATAATTACCTGCACTTGCTATTTGTGATATAGAGAGCAAGTTTTTCTTCATCTTTGGCACATGGTAAACCATCTGTAACTCCAGTTATTTGTTGTGACTACAACACGACCTCCATCATAATTGGATACATCTGATAATTTCTCCTTGTTTCTTGTCATGTGATTAGAACTTCCATCATCATAGTTGATTCTATCACTTACAGTTATTAATGATAACTCCTGCTCGGGTCCTTTCATCATCATCTCTACTGGCTTCTGTGGCAAATTTTCTTCCTCCTGAACAAAGAAACTGTGAATATCCCATTCCTCTTACTTTTTGCTCGTTTCTGGGTTGATGTGTGTTTCCTTCTACTCGTCTGCTTCGACATTCGTCGAGGCGAAAGGTTCCTCTTTTGTTTGCACTATAGCAACGATCCACTTTTCTCGCCAGTCGTCTTTCCTTGTCCTGGCCTGGCTTCCCTTGTTTGCAGTGGTCTTTCCACTTTTGCTTTCTCCATCCTTGTTGATTGCTCCTTTCTTTTCCACCAATCTACTTCAGAACGTTTCGAAATCCCGCTTCTTTTTAGCAAAGAGAGGCCTTCCTCATCATCCTTCAAAGCGTTACTTTCGAACATTTTTTCATCTTAAAGTCTCTTTCATGACAACCAGAATTCTCTAACTCGTCTAAGCGTTGGTTGTGTAGCCCAACCACGCAGTAGCAGTCACAAGACCCTTAAAATTCAGGTCTTAGACCATGGGATGATGATCCTCCTCATCCTTGCTCGTTGATTCTCATTGTCTTGGATCTAACTTTCGAAATTCCTCACATAAAGATTTACTTTAGAAAGTATTTGACTTACTAAGTGAGGTTCTGTTGTGAGATTGGATATAACTCATTTTCGAGCCATTACAATTTTTGCTCGTTCTTCTTTGCGAAAGCAGACTTGAGATGTCATGCTCCTTTGGTGTTTTAGCCGACTTGATCCGTTGCATCTGCTCATCTTCTACTGCACTGTCAGCCACATACACCTCGCCTTCCCACATTTTGTCTCCCACTCTTTCAGAGCTTTCGGGCACTCCCCAACTACTGGTGTAGGTATTATCTCCTCCGACAAATATCCCATAAGTCTTTGACTATGAGATAAATTCTCTACGGGTACTCCAGTTCTTCGTAATCGTTGCTATTTAGCTTCTCGATGCTAGGTAGGCAAACTCTTGAAAAATCCGCCATAAGTACTGTCCATAAGGTACTGGTGTTCCTCACACTAACTAATGCACAACGGTCCTTGACCAATCAAGATCACAATCCTTGCTCGTGAATCTTGCTTCAACAACAGTCCCCGACTGTTATTTCCAACAGAGTAACGATACTCTACACTTGTAAATGAACACCACAACATACCGCGGTTACAACTACTACCACCACAACCAGTCTCTGATACCACTTGTTGGGATTAATGCTCTGATACCACTTGTTGGATATCAGTACAGTGATAAACTCCAAGATTGATTAATAATTTATAACACCAAGAATAATAACGGGAAAGACAATCAAAATAATACTAACACAAAACACCAAATATTGTATTAATAAGAAGCAAACATTCCACAAAAGCTTAAGGAAAGGAATTACTTACTGTTTTTACTTGATGTGTTTGCTTGTTCTACAAATGAGGTGAGGGGTGGGTATTTATAAGGCATTGTCCGCAACTTTTCATTGTACGGCTAAGATTTGTCTTACAAAAATGACTACAAAAATGGACGGCTTAGATTACATGGAGAATTCTAGAACTATGTTGACATTATACAAAATATCTTTTGGGTGGAGTAATGTGGAGTATTCTAGAATGTGAGCTTGGACCTCCAACTTTGGGATTAAGGCTTCCCAAGTCTTGGCTTATTATAGCAGCTCATTTTGGTGGTAACTAAATTAATCGGTGATATTTTAATAGAGTTTTGTAAGTGATGTATTCAATAGTTTCATTTATTTAATTTAATTTAAATTTTCTTGTAAGTGTTTTTAAGATGAGCACTCATTTCAATCTCATTTTTTTTATCTGAAAAAAGATATTTTATTCTATTAATTAAATTTTAAATTTATTTTTACAATTTAGTTAAAAAGTAAAAAGCCAAGTAAAAATTGATTCTAATAAATTTTAAAATAAAGTTTTCCCCTTTATTAAATAAATTTAAATTTATTTTTTAAAATTTAATATAAAATAAAAACTAAGCCTCAATAAATTTAAATGTATATCCCAAAAACTTAAATCGTAGGTCTGTCACTGCTTCAATAGAACCTCCGCTGCCATTTCGGAGCTACACCTTTTTAGTACTTCGCCAGAGCTGATCTTTTCTTGAGAGGAAACCGGCGACACTCGAGTGCTCTCCATGATATCAAAATCAACTAATAGGTTTCTTTAACCTAGCCTCCTAACCTTAATAAAATCTATTTGCCATTATAAAAATATTTTATTATTGCATCAATTTTATGATACAAAATGAGAAGCCAAGAACATAGTCTTGCTGCAGATTTGACTGAATACATAAATTTAGCTCTGAATTACTTTAATCTTATTGTACTTTCAACTTTTAAATAATGAATCGAGAAAATTTCCTGAATTTGAAGGCAAAAAGTAATGTGGTGTTTACTGGGCTAGGAGAAACAAAATTACAAAAGATTTTTGTCCATTATTTTTTGTGAGCAACATAAAATTATTTTATTAAAAATCCTGGAGACACCTATCAAACCGTAAATTATCATTTATTTTATCTAAAAGGAAAAACAAACCATTGGAAAATTTCTATTTTTCTTAAATAAGAAAAGAAAAGAAAAATAAGGATTAATTAATTATTATTATTTATAAAGATTTTACAAATAACACTTTCAATTATTAATATTTTTTAATTATTCATATTTTCATCCGCATGTAAATATCCTAAAATTCATCGATTGCACGAGGAGAAAAAGACTAAGATTTGATTGAAATAATAAAATAAGGAAAAAATCCTAAAAAATAAATAGAAATTTGATTGATCAATTTTTTATTAATTGTTCATTCCATCTACAAATCTAAATTTTCTTGAGCAATAAGGCCAACTACTTAATCCATTGAGAGAGGGCAGTGGCTTCAAAAATTTTCAAGTTGTTTCCTTCTTTTCAAGTAATATATAATTAAAGCGCCTCTAAAATAATTTACTAATCATAAACCAAAAAAAAAAAAAGAAAAAGAAAAAGAACTAACCAACCATGGGAACAATACTTTTTTAGATAATACCGATTGTACAATGACAACATTTGTGCAAATAGATTTATAAATGATTCAGCACCAGCCATGAACACTCTTATTCATGTATATATATTTATATAGCTTATATATTTATTAATCAAACTTTTATATAAATATTACTAATACATAAAAACCAAAAAAAAAAAGAAAAAGAAAAGAAACTAAACACAACACATACAAAAGGGAAAACAAATACTTTATTAGGATAGAGTGACCGGGGGATTTGTTAGACAATGAAACAACATTTTTGTGAAAGTTAAAGATTTAATATAAAAAAATGATTTCAGTCACCAAAGCCATGAACACTCATTAATTCATAGATATATAATAATTTAAATATCAGAGCTTATATAAGAAATTTATTATATAATCAAACTTTTATAATAAAATATTTAAATAGAATAAAATTAATATATATATATAATAATAAAATAAATAATAATAAATGAGAAATAATGCTAGTACATTTATATTCTTCTAACTTTAGTTTTTTATTTATGATCATAACCTATAGAGATGTATTGGCACTTTTCCCAATATCCTCATAAGATGTATCTCTAAAGGTGCCATGCCTTATGTCCATATTCATGATCCAAATTGATTTAATGATTTAATTAATACACATTACAAGATTTCGGTTTATTGTGGCCATTTTTTATAATTTGAAATTGAGAAATAAGTGCTTATTAAAATCAATTTGACCTATTTGGTACTGGTGGCTTGAATGATCTTCCTTATATATATAGCTTACTTATATCTTCAACTTTAGTTTTTATTTGCATAACTATGGATGCCTTTTCCCATATCCATCTCAATTGCCATGCTTGTCATCATGATCATGATTATGTTTATTATCACACTTACGTTCGTTTTTGTGCCTGTGCTTATTATCTTCCTTTTGGTTGTGCTTGTGATCTTCCTTACGGTAGTCATTGCGCTTGTGATCTTCCTTACACTCGTCGTCGCACTTGTGATCTTCCTTACGGTCGTCGTCAAGCTTGTGTTCTTGCTTACAGTCGTCGTCGCGGTTGTGATCTTCCTCACGGTCGTCGTCGCGCTTGTGTTCTTGCTTATGGTCGTTGTCGCGCTTGTGATCTACCTTACGGTCGTCGTTGCACTTGTGATCTTTCTTACCCTCCTCGTCTCGCTTGTGATCTTTTTTATGGTCCTCGTCGCACTTGTAATCGTCCTTGCCACCGTCGTGTCGCTTGTGATCTTCCTTACGGTCATCCTCGCGCTTGTGATCTTCCTTATGGTCGTCGTAGCGCTTGTGATCTTCCTTACAATCGTCGTCATGTTTGTTCTCGAACTTCTGCTCCTGCAGATGTTCGTGTTGGTGCCTATATTGTTGCACATGTTGTTTGTGTACATGTGCGTTATCTTCTACAAATTGAATAAAGTAATTAGATTAATTAGTACAAATATTAAAACAAAAAGTTAATTGTTGGAAAATGAGAGAGGAAGGCTGGTTTTTAGTTTATTTAAAGACATAACAGAGGCTTAAACATAAGCGGATAACAAATGAAAGATAAACACATATTTGATAAGAGGAAGCTAAAAACGCACGATTTTGAACAGTTTCAGCAAGTTGGCGAGCTAAGACCTCCGACGAGGTGAGAAGGACAGTGGCCAAGACAATGCCGATAAGAAGAAGAAAAGCTTTTGAGAACTCCATTTTTCTTTAGCAACCCAAAACAACAGAAAAGATAGTTTTGAATGAGGAAGTGAAGCTAGTAGCTCCTCTATTTATATAAGAAAATTTGCAAGGAGATGTAGCAATCAATGACTTGGATATTTTTTTTTGAAAATATAATTCATTAATTATAATATTAAGAATTACAAATACTCATATAGACCAAACATAGAACTCTACTATTAGTGGCTAACAGAGTTCAGATCTTTTAATAAACTAAAAGAATTCATATTCTTTTGAACTATAAAACTAAAATTAAAAATATAATGTTAGATCTCTCCAATTGGAATTGATTTTGACAAAATATATAAATCTTCATTACCACACCTAGTCCGTTAATTGATTTGGACGTCAAAATAATAACTCTTCTGGATCTTATATAACTGGATTATTTTTTCAAAAATTTATAATATATAATGAACACAGATGAGTTTTCACTACTATGCATCAATAGCATCAATGAAGGTACATACTGCATTATCAAGCTCCATTGATCGAAGATCTGCACCTGCAGATCAAGATTTAAAATCTCCAACTAAAAAAAATCAAATATCATAATTTTATTTAGTAATATACTCATACGTTTAATATATTATATAACTCAATTAGGAAAATAAATAATCATAATTATGTGCATTTAGTAAACCAATATTCATAATCATTTGTTTGGTAATGTTTTTTCACACTGACAACTCTACGGAGCACTATCAAGAGAGATATAGATGACAACAATAAAGGTCTTGTAAAGTTGGATAAGAAAAAAAAATAATGACCAAATATACACAAAAAAAAAAAAAATCAATATTCATAATGCATTTGTTTGTGTTCAATTGTTTTTTCACTTCTGAACAACTCCTACGGAGCACACTACCTCAACGAGAGATAATACGATAAACTAATAAAGGTCTTTGTTAAAGTTGGAATAAGAAAAAAAAATAATGACCAAATATTACACAAAAAAAAAAAACTTTTGGGGTCCTACATAAAAGAGCTATTGCCTTACTAAATACATAATATATATACTCCAAATTTTCAAAAAAAAAAAAAAAAACTTTGTCTACAAAGAGCTATTGCTACTAAATACATAATAAATATATTTAAATTTTTAATTAATAATATTAGGAAGATTCTACTATTAAAAATAATAAAGATAGTGATGTTCTGAATAAGACTAAATCATCCATTAATCCAGCAACTCTTTAAAAGGATAGGAAGATTCATCGCGTAAAAGGAACAATTATATTTATTATTTTTAAAAATATTATACATTATTGTTTTTTATATTTATGCTTGTATACTATTAAAGTAAATAATTAAATAAAAAGTATTGAGTCTATCTATCTCTTTCTCAACAATTTACTCATGCACATAATTAACTTTTGAAATTAACAAAAACTTCAAGATAACAAAATATTATAAATTATATAACGAGTAACTTTAATAAGTAATTACTAGCAACACACGTTTTGAAATACTAATCTATCTATACTATTCATAAATGTAGGAATATAGAGGAATAAAGATTTCTAATAGTGCCATCGATGAAATTTCAATATCATAAAATAGCTTTATTCTCGAATAAATACATGTAGGTAATTAAGCATTTTAAAATTTTGAGTCTTACTTTTTTAAAATTTATTTTGTAATAAATATTTATGATAATGAGACATTTGAAAATTTTTATATTTTATTTTTTAAATATTTAATTTTATTTTTATTAAAATTTAAAATATTTTACTTAGAAGATAGATAAAATATGATATTTTTATAATATTTTATTTTTCTTTATTTTTATATAATTTGATTGGATATATATTTTAAGATATCTCTTTTTCTCTATCTATGCCTATTCTTATACTCAATTTGACTTGGACCTATATTCACCTCTCTTTCTAAAGCATAAATTTCATATTACAACCTAGAATATATCGTAATTAACAATCTTTAATAATGTCTCTTTAAAATTAATAATATGTTTAACCATATAAAAGACTCAAATTAATGATTAATGTTAGTGATACAATGTGGTGATGTAAAGAAGAAAATTTATAGTTATCTCATATATAATTTTAGAAAACTGATCTTAATAATATTTTGTTTTCTTATAACATGTATAATTCTATAAATTTTTTAGTTTTTACTCTTTAGTCTGATATATTGTCAGTATCTAATTTTTTATTTATAACACATTTGAAATATCTTCTTTCTTTCCAGGTAGCAGAGTACACAATACGTATAACAATAAGTACAAGTTTGTCATTATCTTTAATGCTCCTTTGTTGATTAAATACCACTTATAATGCGGTCGAAGAGAGTATATATTCACTATCTCATATTGTTAAATAATATTTTCCACCATCAGAATCATGAATACATTAACCGCCTCCGCTTTTTTTATTTTAAAAATATATATAATATTTTGTTCTATACATGAAATTATATTTTATTAGTTTACTTTTTGAATATTTCATTTAATTTTTATTATAATTGAAATTATTTTATTTAGGAGAGAGATAAAAAAAGAAAAAAAGAAAATTTTCTACTTTATGTTTGTATAATTTAATCGGATATATATTTTTAAAAATAATATTTCAAATAGAATATGAATAATTAAGCCTTTCAAAATTTTTAAATTTACTTTTTAAATTTTATTTTTAATTAAAATAAAATATGTGTGTATGGAAATAACGAATAATTCAAAATTTTAATTCAAAAATATATATAATATTTTATTGTTATATTTATATATCTCTATATATTGAAACCTATTTATCTATGACGTGCTATTGTAAAAATTTTATATATACAGTTGCAATGAAATTTAGTTAAATGATGATATAAATTGAAGTGAAATATGTTTGAAATGTTATATTCTTATATAATATTAGTTAATTAAACCCTTTTAATTTTATTAGTTAATTAAAATTATATAATATTCTATTCTTATTCTATATATAGTAAACCGCAACTATTAAACACCCACAAGTTGGAATTGCTATAAAATTGATAGCTTCATAATTCCACCTTCTGCCTGTAAATAAAAATTGTGAAAATTGTGAAATGTTGATTGTTAGGAAAGAAGAGAAAAGCCAATGAGAAAAAAGAAAACCACACGTACTTTAGTTTCAAAGCCAATTAGATATGCCCATATTGTTTATTTGATTTACATAATTTTTATATTATTTAATTATTTTAAAGGTATTTATTAATTATTTTAATTTAATAGGCATCCAAAGAAAAAAGTGTATACTATAGAAGCAAAAAAAAAAAATTAAAGAAGGAAAAGAAATTCTATTTCAAATTAAAGAAGGAAAAAGATTCTCTTGTAATCAAACAAAAATATAGTTTCAAAGGAGAAAAGGAGAAGAAAATAGCAAATAGAAATTGGATCGTGATATGGGATATTTAAGAAGTTGAAAAGCCATCAACTGTTGTTATTGAAAGGTTGAAGAAAAAGATTGAAAAATAAGGATTTAACATTGTTTGTTTGAAAATGCTAATTGCTAGTTTATTATATTTACTAAAATTTACATATTTTTATTAACAATGGATATATTATAATATCATTTATTTCACTAATAAATTTTACATAGTCTAAAGGATTTATATTTAATTTAAATAATTTAAAGACTTAAACTATTATAATTAGCAATTTAAATCAACTAATAAATTATAAAATATATGAGCTTTTATTTCACTCATACATTTTACAGAGTTGGAAAGATTTACATTTAATTTAGCTAATTTATAGATTAATATATTATAATTAGAAATTTAAATCTATTAAATATCACCGATTAATTTAGAAAATCACCATCAAAATGGTCTGTCATAATAAGCCAAGACTTGGGAAGCTTTTAGCCCAAAGATAGTTGATCCAAGCCCACAAAGTGTGTAAATACCTAGGGCATTCTAGAATACTCCCACTCAAAAATATTGTGTGAAATGTCTACCAAACTTTAGAATATTCCTTGTAATCTAGACCATCCATTTTTATAAGCAAATCTCAGCCATACATTGAGGAGGTGGAAATGCCTATAAATACCATCTCTCCTCTCATTTGTAAGTATCAAGCAAAAACTAAGCCCAAGAAGCAAGTAAGTAATTCCTTCCTTAAGTTTTGTGAAAGTTTGCTTCTTATTAATACAATATTATTTGGTGTTTTGTATTAGCATTATTTTGGTTGTCTTTCCGTTATTATTTTTGATGTTATAAATTATTAATTAATCTTGGAGTTTATCATTGTGCTGATATCCAACAAGTAGTATCGGAGCATTAATCCCAACAAAATCTACTAGTAAATTATAAAATATATGATATTTATAATAATAAAACAAAGAATATTATACTAGACATTCCATTTATTAATAAGCAATATCTCAGCCACATAGCTGATGAGAGAGGGGTGGAAGAAAATGATTCCTTATCTACTACAGTGACAGTCTCTCTCTCGTCAATTTATGTCAAGATAATACCCAAGCATATAACCTAAACCCAAGACACCCCAGTAGTAAATCCTCATATTCTTCTTGTCTTATTAAAGTTTTGTGAAAGAGTTTATTGCTCTCTTACCTCTATTACACAATATTAATATTGTGTGATTCATTTGTAATTTCAGCATTATTCTAGGTTGTCTTCCCGTTTTACTTAAAATCTTTTGATGTTCTATAAATAATAAGTTAATCTAATATCTTGGAGTCTTATCATCTAGTCTGATATTCAACAAGTAGTATCGGTAGCATTAATTCCCAACAAAATTACTAAGTAAATTAATAAAATATATTGATATCTTACTAATAATAAAACAAAGAATATATAATATATTAATATATATATATATATATATATATATATATATAATATATTATATATATATAGTTATATATATATAAAACTGAAAATTGCTAACCTGACAAATTTGCCAATGGAAAGAAATAATGAGCAACTTTTCCCAATCTTGGCTGGTTTGGAGGAGATAATTATTTATGATTAGATGTATCAACGAAA